TACTGAGGAAAACCTCTTGGAGGTGTCAGGAGGTCTGTATGAGTGTCTGTGCTCTACAGCAAGCCCACAGCAAGACAGCATGGCCAGGCTTCTTCATCCACCCTTTATAACATAAGAGTGAACATGAAGTTCTCTTTTCTCAGAGTCCCACAAAGTGAGGAGATTATTTAAGTAAATACTTGTGGGCTCATTTAAGTATTCTCTAGATGGAAAACAAATCTAAGAATGTGCTATTCAGATCTGTAATATAAAGATTCCATTTACAAGTCCATTGTAAAGTAAAAAATATCATTGTAACAAAATACTAAAAAAAAAATACAGTCTGGTAGTATGAGTTATATTCCAGCACAACAGAAATTGGAGGGCATGAATGACTGAAAGCAGGCAGGTGAAAATAGATGGTGTTTGTTTCTTTCCAGCCCTGATACACAGTGACACAAGGCTGTCCCCAGGGATTAAGCCTCTCTGCAGACACAGTGGCAAGGAGTGTGTGTGTGTGTGTGTGTGCAGTGTAACTCTGATGGCAGATGTAGAGACTATGTAACATATTTGGTTTTTTCTTATTTTTTGCATTTGCTTTCTAGAACTCAAGCTTTACAGCCAGATACAATTCTAGGCTATGCCATTTGCTAACTATGGGATGCTTATATTTTATTAGACTTACTTAGTCCCTTTCTCTATATTGGAGGTAATATTTAACTTTTTTTTTCTGTAATGTATGAATGAGTCAAATGCAAGTAAAGTAGTTATGAGAGTGGCTAGCACATAGAGCTTGGAATAATACACCTATAAATACTCAAATATGTAGGCCTCATAAAATTGGATTTTTCTCTGGAGAGAGCCTTCAGGCTATTACTTTTTATAACTTGTGGATGAAGAAAGTATAAAAGAAGAAGCACATTTTCTTTTAGGTAATTTGGTCATCCTTGCTGCATTAAGAATAAATTTAATTATATTTGGGGGCCCATTCCAGTCATAGATTGTGACTATGATTAAATGTTCAAAACATTTGGAATTAAATAATTGGAATTAAAATGAACGGAAATCACTGTTTAAACTTCAGTCACACAGGGACTGCTGTCAACAAGGCTCTTTCAATCTGGGGTCTAATTTCTCTAGTAATTAAGTTTCTTTGAAAAAATAAAATAACTTTTTAATTTTAATCTAATTAGAATAATGGGTCCTTTGACATAAACAATAAAATTAGTTACATTGCTTTCTTAAATTAATTTTGTGATGAAGAACTATTCATAGAGATTTTCTGAAAGACTTTCTGGTCTATCATTTAGAATAGCTAAGGTATTTTATAAATGTCTTCTAATGAGTGTATAATTCTTTAGGATTATATTATGTGATTTAGAGGTTGAACATTAATATTAATGCTCTTGAGATCCATATCATAGAAATGCATTTCAGGGCAGGGGTCATCAAACTGCAAACATAAGAACTAAAATCATGATGATGTACCACTATAGCTAATTGATCATAAGTTCAGTTTGGGACTTTAAAAGAAAATGTTATGGTAAAATACAGTATTTGGAGCATCAATTCTGTGGGAGAACTCAAAGAGACCACTTGAGAAGAAAGTGTTTCAGTATTCACTATGGCTTATCTGACTGCTAATTGATTTTAATTTAAGAATAAGGCTGCATTTGCATAGTAATTTTACAGTACAGAGGATTTTATTTGCATTGTTCTTCATGCATACTTGAAAGGCAAAAAAAGAAAACAATTAGAACTATTTCCCTAGTTTTTGCACAGACAGGAAAAAAAATCTCTGATTTGGTGGAGATATTCTTCTGGTCACAAAAAGAACATGCACTAAAATCTAGAAATGTTCTTTTTCAATGAGGAACTGTCTTGTAAAGTAACCCACAAATACTGAAAAGCAGACCTGAATACAGAAATTTAGGTAAATTCAGTGTATTTTACATTGATCTAATTAAGTACCAGGAGGGATAAAGAAATAAGACAGAAAATGGTAGAAGATCACTAAACATTTCTCTAACATAGGATTTGCTGCTATGCTACTGGGAGCAGTCCCCTGCAGATCTTCTGAGGCTCTATCTTAGTTGCTGGGCCTGGCACACCCAGCCCTTCTAGCCAGGCCCTATCCTTGCATCATTGGAAACCTGCAATGTCTGGAGTTGTCTGCACTTGACACCAGGAGGAGATGAGAAAATATGTTTCACTGTATAATTTAGTAGAGAAAGGTCAATTTTGATGTGTCTAGAATGGTACAGGTTTCCAGGATGAGATATAGATATTAAATTCAATTAAACTTAAGAAAATTTCATGGACTCACTTACTTCTTACCCTTGAGTAGATCACAGGGTATATGGCTATTTCTGGCATAGAGGCCATGGTCAGCAGTGCCAATGCTTTCCCCACTATTGGCTTGGGTTCCACCATCAGCTGTGAGGTCTCTGAAACTTGTATTCATGATCATCCCTTGGATTCCTTTCTTATTCCTGCGCACCTGTTGTGTGCCAGGGACTGCCTGAAATTCAAGATTCTTAACAGAAAATAAAACACATAGAATCTCTGACTTCAAGAATCAAACAGTGCAGATAGAAAATAAACCCATTGACCAGTAAATAAATATGCAATAGGATGAAGGGTTTTATGAGGAACTGGTTATGCAAGGCCTTTGTTAAGATAGCATTTGGGCAGAGGCCTGAAGATTGGCAGCAGAATCCATGCAGATGATCCACAGAAGGCTCAGTTCCCCATAAAGGTGTGGCCATAACTTTTAACAAAGTCCAGAAGCAAGAGAAAACTGTGTACCAGAAATGCTGTGATGTCGGTACATTTTTTTAAACACTAGCATTATTGTGTGGAGAGAAGAGATTGTAAGTGGAAAGAATGCAAAGAGGCCAGTCCACACATTGTTGAAACATTCATACTAAAGACTACCAAGTGATTATAATTTTTATAGTATTAATATTAGTATTCTCTCTCTCTCTGATATAATATATATATATATATTATATATACATAAAGACTCATATATTTTAAATTTCAAAATTTGGGAATTATTTTCATTGATTATTTTGCAGCCAAATTTTAATTGTCCTCCATTGAAGCAAAATATGCTCAGTCGTATTACTGAACTAAAATGTAACATCCTAAAAATGCATGACATTTCGTATAATATGAGTAAATATAAAAGACATGTCATCACAATCTTCCAGTTTCCACCAGGCCTTGCTTAGTGATATACACCAACCATTAGCTAATGCTTTTTCTGGAGAGAACCACGTAGCACATAGTCTCCACTTTGAGACATATGATATCCGATGCAGCTTTGTGAGTAGGGTGGTGAACGGGTGATATATAGTCACGTGAGTTTGGCTATATTTCAAGAAAACTTTACATTGGCGTTATAATTTGGATTTATGAAATCCGTATATACCACTTAATATTATTTCTCTTTTGATTTCTTTTCAACCATTTAATAATGTAAAAAACACTCTCAGCTCATAGGCTACAAAAAGACAAATGGCTGTGAGGAAGCTATGGCCCGCATGCAATTCAGATGGCTGGTGTAAACTGTCAGGGGCTTAGGGCTTTCATCTGTGCTTCATTGATTTACTGTGTTTTTATTTTTAAATATCTTTACTTGTTAGTCTTCTTATCTTTAATGACACTGAAGAGTATCCTCAAGGAACTTCTATGTGAGGATTTTACATTACGCCATCTGGAGCAGACTAGAACAAAAGCCTGTTCCCTTTGTCACAAAATAAGCTTTTGCAGCATTAGAAAAAAGCACTCTGCCTGACTCTTTGGACTTCTCTGTCTGCTGGTGTTTCCAAGTCTCTCCAGATGGTTGTGTTCCATTGCTGCTTTGCTGTTTGCACCTTAATTTTCTAATTATTCTTTTAAAATGAAAACATACTATACTGAAACTTCAAGCCATGCCCACCTAGTGGAGAGATCAAAAGAATGTTTATCTTCAAATATCTATGTAGCAGAAAAGAGTGAAATGTGGCTGTTGTTGGTAGAAGTTGTTGGTTTATTTTCTTACTTTTTGTTCTTTGAAATATAACCCACTGAATTCTAACAATGCCTTGTTTATAAATGATCAAATAATCCTGATACTGTCCCTGTGATCATAAGTAGTAAACTGTACATACTTAACATATTTTTCTTTAATACTTAATTTATATAAATTATGCCTAGAGATGTGGTATTGAAAGGAAAGAGCCAGAACAAAAGTTTTTTAAAATAGAGAAATATTAAATAAAAAGCATAAATATGTTTTCTTATCTGAGAGTGGGATAAGGCAAATTTAACCAGAAAACAACTTCTTAAATTAAAATATCTCATCCTCATCTCCCAAATGACTTTATGCAAACTGTTCTTCCCAAGTGTCCCAATGGATTCCAGGCCTATTTATTTACCTAATTGGGTTGCATTATGCTTTATTTAGTCCAGTGGAAGATAGAACCAGTTATGATATTAAAGAAACATTAAATAATGCAATTTATAAGCAGCATTGTAGTCTCCTAGTTAAAATACATGAATTGTACTTCTAAAGCACTAAAAATTTAAAAATTTAAAAATTGTGGTTATTCCTCCTTTCTAGCTGAAATTGTCATTTTTACCAGTAATTCCTTAGCTGACTGTAGTTAATAATAATGCATTTTATATTTCAAAATAACTGACAGTAAATTTCAAATGCATCACACACAACAAAAATGACATTAAGTATAATGGTAGATATACTAACTGGTCTAGTCATTTCACTTTGTGTGTATATATCAATCTATCACATTGCACTCCATAAATGTAATATATTATAGTTTGTAAATTAAAAATTGCATATGTATATACAGTGCATATATGTATATACAAAGTTGCAAAATGTATACACATTACATGTTTTCTTATATCTATATAGTTAAATAGTATACATTTAAATTACATAAATTATTTACAAATATATGATATATATTTAAATTGTGTAACTAAACTGAGTTTTATTTTGTACTTCCTAGGTTCTGGGTTGAATGATGGTCAGTGGCATGAGGTTCGTTTCTTAGCCAAGGAGAATTTTGCTATTCTCACCATTGATGGAGACGAAGCATCAGCAGTTCGAACAAACAGTCCTCTTCAAGTGAAAACTGGCGAGAAGTACTTCTTTGGAGGT